GGAGGTTTAGTCCGATGCTCATATGTGAACTAAGCTTTCGTGAATCTGCGCTTACTGGGAAGTTTCGGTTTGAATGCTCATGTGTGCAGCTCATACTTGAAGCTGCCGTTGCCATATATCTCAAGCGAACCCTATGCAGTCACATCCTGTAGAGATGTCGGCGCCGCTGTGGTGCCTTTGGCACAGCAGACGTTACGTTGTGGCACATGTTCAGGCTGTCGAAAGCCCGGAGAACATGCCTTGTCTGAATCTGCAGCACGCACTGCTTTTCGTTTCCTCCACCCTTGTCTTCTTGTTGTCGTCCCGCTGCTCGGTACGGAGGTCTGAGGTGTCATCCAGCTCTGCTTTGAACTTCTGTGGCATCTTGGATGACGTCTCTCTCTCTTATGCCAACCTCAAACTCGAACTAAAACAGCAGGACCCCAACCCCTGCAGCTTCCAAACAAAAAGGCTTACTTCTTTTTAAGTAGCAGCCTGAAGCAATTAAGGGTTCTAGCACATGATATATCAGTATAGCTTTACCAAGACGCCCTTCACCAGTGCTGCTAGGATTTGATTCAGGCAGTGGTCCCCGGAACCCAAGAATCCTCCTGAACTCTCGTACACTTCAGGCCTAAAACCCGTGATACCTAAACCCTCGACCTTAAACCCTATGCTACCCCCTAACCCCTAAACCCGAGGTCTTGAACCCCAAAACCCTATATTCTAATTTACCGCAAACGCTTCCAGACTTGCCAACGAGCGTCTGTCGCTGCATCTTGCCCAGCAGATCGGTATCAAGGTACTTGTACGCAGCCTTCTCTCAGGTTTGGGTTTAGGCTTTAGGGTTTATAGGGTTTAGGGTTTAGGGGCCTTCTCTCAGGTTTGGGAATCCTGAACCGCAAGGTGAAAGCTTACAGTGTGATTGTGACTGCACTTACATCTCACCTATAACAGAGCTGTTTAAGTTGTAAAACAAGTATAGCTACCCCGAACCTCCAATTAATCCATGAAGGCAAATCCCTCATCGCTTACTCTGAAACTGGAAACTGTTAGTCTCACAGCCATCCTTCAACTCGGGTGCCTGGAGCACAGGCTTGGCTTAGCATTCAGGGCTTACGACTCGGGGTTCATAATTTAGGGCTTAGGAATAAAACTTACGGCAACTCCAAATCCAAAAACATTGCTTGCGACCTACAGATGTGACCCTGCCACAACGCTCTACCCATAGGCCCCATTTTAGTTCCTTTTTGTGGCTTCTATTCAGGATCCTATTAGGTAATCCCAAATAAAGGAACTACTACTGTTGATGGACAAAATTCTGCATGACCCAAATATAGTATAGTGCCATAAATCCCATAGTTTAGGATATAACGTCATGCAGGATTTTGTCCATCAACCGTATGGGGCCTATGGGCAGAGCTTTGAGGCTTCTTTGAGGCGTTCATTGCTGGGGGGGCGTGATCTTGCGCCTTGCCCAAGGGCCTTACAGTTTAGGGTTTAGGGGATTTAGGGT